AAATGAATAGTTAAAAGTCGAAGGTAGTCTTCGTTAACTATGACATCAGGTCGTCAAACTCCTCTGCTCTCCCTCCGTGAAAAAAATGTGCTGTAAAGTGCACGAAATTACAGAGTAAATAATAGCAAAACGTCGGGAATAAAAAAAGTTAAAATTATTCCATTCACAGACCTCTATATATTCAAGTACGCGGGTAAGAGATACAGTGACGCAAGATTATAGTGTACGTGTGTTTGCTAGCACAGGTGCGCTCTCTATTCCCTCATTCTCATAGCCCGAGTGGACCGCAATCCGACAAATCCAGAGAGATATCAGGTATAGGAACAACGGCTTTACGTACATGGGGGGGGGGGGGCTGTGAAACACCGCCAATTGCGGGTAGTTACAGAGAATTTTTCACAGAAAAAAAACAAAATTAGGTACTGATTTTGGTCCAGCCCAGGATTCGAAGCACAGAGAACATAATCAGCAATCACTCTTTAGACCAACTAAAAGACTAACGAGACAGTCAAAACTAACACACTTGAATATTCAAACTATTTATGAATTTTTAATATTTCAAATAATGTACCCACGAAACCAAAATGCGATTCATTTGAAAGGAAAAAATTAAGCTATATCCTATAGACGTCCTGCTAATAAGTATGGCTTACTCTCATTCCTAAGATTTTTTATAGAATAAGGGTGATAAAAGAGCACACAGTACCCCTGATGGTAAGTGGATGCTGTGGCCCATATACATCTATATTTATCCTCAATTAAGAATTAAAACGTAAATGCATTGTCACCCCTGAGGCACATGAGTAAAGAAACTGACCAGAGGGGAAGCTATATACAAACGGCTCGCTGCGACTATACCCATACATAGCGCAGCGATGTTTGCGTGAGCTCTCACCGACAGGTTCACCGACGCTCCGTCGGGGTACAAACCGGTTTGCGCCGGCTCAGTCAGAGTATCCATGAAAGGGCTGTTAGTCGTGCGCATTTAAATAAATGCGCACGACTAACAGCCTAAAGCACGACTAAATGCCGTGTAGTGGCGGTTAAGAATATCCACTACCCCATATCTTCCCGTGGGTGTCGTAAGAGGCGACAGAGGGAGACAGGCAGGAGATGGGCAGCAGCGTCTTCCTGATGACAACTGTGACGTAAAAAAAAAAAAAAACTGCGGTTGCCAACCCGCTCGCCAAGCGTGGCAACTATGGCAAATACCCCCCAATGAATAAATACACAAATAGACGGCCCCCAGTCCCCGGCGGCCCCGCTATTCCTGGCTACGGTGGCGACCATGGTAACGGCGGGGCAGGGGGTGCTAAGAATCTCCGGTGGAGGTTCGGTTGCCACCTACGACGACTCGACCTGGCAACATATAACGCACGCACCCTGAGGACTGACGAGAAGATACTGGAGCTGGAAGAAGAGGTAGACAAGTTGCGCTGGCATATTATTGGATTATCCGAGGTCCGAAGAGAGGGGGAGGACACGACAATCCTCGAGTCCGGCAACTTGTTCTATCACCGGGAGGGCGACCATCTGTCCCAAGGAGGTGTCGGATTTATCGTCCACAAATCTCTCGTCAACAACGTTGTAAAGATTGGGAGTGTGTCGACGAGGGTCGCGTACCTGATACTCAGAATCACCAAACGGTATTCGCTGAAGGTCATTCAGGTTTACGCACCAACCTCGGCACATCCCGATGAGGAGGTGGAGGAAATGTATGAGGATATTTCCAGAGCCATACATTCCTCCAAAACCTACTACACGGTGTTGATGGGAGACTTCAACGCAAAACTGGGCACAAGAGAAAGCGGTGAGCTGAAGGTAGGGAAATTTGGAGTAGGGCAACGGAACCGAAGGGGCCAGCAGCTGGCCGACTTTATGGAGAAAGAGGGACTCTTTATGATGAACTCTTTCTTCCAGAAGCGGCCCCACAGGAAGTGGACCTGGTCGAGCCCCGACGGTTCGACAAAAAATGAGATTGACTTCATTATGACGACCAGACGCCAACTGTTCAGTGATGTCTCAGTGATCGCAAGGGTGAAAACTGGCAGCGATCACCGAATGGTTAGAGGCACACTGAACCTAAACGTTAAGTTGGAGAGGTCTCGTCTAATGAAGTCAACGCTCCGTCCCCCTCGTGCTCTAATACAGAATCCCGAAACCTTTCAGCTCGAGTTACGTAACCGCTTTTAGTGCCTAGAAGATTGCAATGCTGTGGACGAAATGAAAGACAAGCTCGTGGAAACTGTCCATGCGGTCGGAGCTAAGTTCTGTAAGACCCACCGCAGAAGAACACAAAAACTCTCCGATCACACTCTTAATCTCATGGCTGTTAGACGGGAGATGAGGCTGCAATCGTCAACAGATTTGACAGCATACAGGCAACTGAACAGACAGATCTCCAAATGCATACGGCGAGACTTACGCAACTTTAATACTTCTCGTATTAAAGAAGCGATCGAGCGGAACCAGGGCTCCAAAGTCTTTGCCAGAGATCTGTCTGCCAGAAAGAGCCAACTGTCAAGGCTGAAGACTGAGTGTGGCAACATCGTTTCCGGGACATCTGAGATTTTGAGTGAGATTGAGAGGTTCTATGGGCAGCTGTACACATCATCGTTGGAGCCACACGCAAGTGTGAGTAACGATCCAAGAGCAAGTCTTATCCGACACTATTCCGATGATATCCCGGACGTCAGTCTAAGCTAGATTAGAATGGCTCTCCAGCACCTTAAAAACGGCAGGGCCCCAGGCGAGGATGGAATTACAGCGGAGCTTCTGAAAGCGGGTGGAACACCGGTACTTGAAGTCCTTCAGAAGCTCTTCAATTCCGTCCTCCATGGTGGCACTACTCCAGAGGCGTGGAGCAGAAGTGCGGTGGTCTTGTTCTTTAAGAAAGGCGACAACGCTCTCTTAAAGAACTACAGACCGATTTCCCTTCTGAGCCGCGTCTACGTGCTGTTTTCGAGAGTCATTACGAATCGTCTCGCACGCAGACTTGACGACTTCCAGCCTCCCGAACAAGCCGGTTTCCGAAAAGGCTTCAGTACCATAGACCACATACATACCCTGCGGCAGATTGTACAGAAGACTGAAGAGTACAATCTGCCACTTTGCCTGGCGTATGTGGACTATGAGAAAGCCTTTGATTCCGTCGAAATTTGGGCGGTGCTACAGTCCCTTCAGCGGTGCCAAGTTGACTGTCGGTATATCGAAGTGCTGAAGTGTTTGTACAGTAGGGCTACGATGGCTATCCGAGTACAGAACCAGACCTCGAAACCTATCCAACTGCAGAGAGGTGTAAGACAGGGTGACGTTATATCCCCGAAACTCTTCACCGCTGCATTGGAAGACGTTTTCAAGCTACTGGACTGGAAAGGATACGGTATTGACATCAATGGCGAGTACATCACTCACCTTCGATTTGCCGACGATATAGTCCTTATGGCAGAATCGCTGGAGGACTTAAGCACTATGCTCAATGACCTCAATAGTGCCTCCCAACGGATAGGTCTTAAGATGAACATGGACAAAACAAAGATCATGTTCAATGTCCATGTCACACCTATGCCGGTAGTTGTTGGGAGCACTATGCTCGAAGTTGTTGACGAATACGTTTACCTGGGACAAATAGTCCGACTAGGTAAGTCCAACTTCGACCGAGAGGTCAATCGACGGATTCAACTCGGCTGGGCAGCGTTCGGGAAATTACGGCATATCTTTTCGTCAGGTATACCTCAATCTCTAAAAACTAGATTGTACAACCAGTGCGTGTTGCCAGTGATGACTTACGGATCTGAGACGTGGTCCTTCACTGCTGGCCGTATGAGGACGCTTAAGGTCGCTCAGCGAGCTATGGAGAGGGCTATGCTCGGAGTTTCTCTGCGTGATAGACTCAGAAATGAGGATATCCGCAGTAAAACCAGAGTGACCGACATAGCCCAACGGATTAGTAAGCTGAAGTGGCAATGGGCCGGCCATATAGCTCGAAGAACCGATAACCGATGGGGAAGAAAGGTTCTCGAGTGGCAGCCTCGTACCGGTAGGCGTAGTGTAGGGCGACCCCCCACTAGATGGAGTGACGACCTGGTAAGACATGCAGGAAGTCGATGGATGCAGGTGGCTCAGGACCGTGCTTTGTGGCATTACTTGGGGGAGGCCTATGTTCAGCAGTGGACTTGTGAAGGGCTGTAATGATGATGATGATGATGATGATTTAAATAAATAAATAAATAATAATAATAATAATAACTGGGACTGGGACTCCGTGATGGACCGCTCCGGGCTCAAATGCAAAAGGCGGTGCTTCTCGATACCGCCCGCATCGTCCGCCGGTTTCTTTCCCTTTCCTCCTAACCCTCGGCCGTTTGGTCTCCCCCTGCCGAGGGCTTCCATCTGGTTGGGCTTTTATTTATTTATGTATTTTTGTATTTATTCTATTTTATTGATATTTATGTATATTTATCGTTTCATTTTAATTTATAATTATATATTTATATAACCCAACCAGATGAGAAAACTATATAGATACCCCAAATAATAATAATAATAATAGTAAAAAGGCGTAGGGAAGTGACGACCCCATCGCCCGCTGACGTAACAGTTATGTGACAAAATTGCGACGTCGGCGCAGTCAGTCAGCATCCTGCCAAGAGGTGTGAGCGCCGTGCCTAGGCAAAATTGTAGATGCAAAGGTCCGTTTGTGCATATGACCCAACCACGAAACGGTGTCGGGATTGGGCGTCTCCCGTTATTTGGCGCCCATAAAATGGATGATGGAAGAAACACAGAAAGGAACGCGCATAGGGCCGCTGCCTGGGGGTCGCCGGAGCGCGTCTGGAGCTGGCGCTGGACGCGGCAGCATGCGGGCCGCCAGCCGAGCGCGAGGAGCTGCACGATCACCTAGCAGCCCCTCACATCCATCATCCCCACCAGAAGGCTTGGTGTCGGCTGGGTCTTCTCGGACCTAGCAAGCGGCACCCGCCGCTGGTGGATCACATCGCATGCGTTGGACAAAATCCATGAACGAAAACGCATTGCGGGCGTACTATAGGGCGAAAGGGGAAGAAACTGCGGGAATAGCGTATAGGTCTCGGATGCATTGCTTATTTGCTGAGCTGGAGCCGTCTATTCCCGTCACGGAACAAAACCTGGCAGACCGAGTTCGGTACATCATGCGCTCGAAAATATTTGATGATGCCGAACTCGAACGACTACGACGTGAGGCTATTCCGTCGTCGAATGAATCGGCTATGGCTGGAGATGCAGCTCCACATTCGACAGACCAGCATCCACACGTGGAAGCCGCCATGGATCTTCCAGTTGTGGTTGATTCGAACGACGATGAAATAGTCTCCCACGAACTAGAGCAAATGAGGAGTATATTGGAAGAGGCGATTTTGGAAACGCGCAGCACCCCTCTCGACCGCGACTTCCCCGCATACCCCTAAGCAAGCGAAATCGGGCTGTCGTGAGGGCTCTTAACCCAATGCTGGTGACCTATTTGGAAGCCAGCCGGGACCTTTGCGAGACGTACTCGATTCTCTTTGGCGCCGCAGTGGCAGTTTGCCGTATTATTGGCGCCAAACTTTCCATGTGGAACGCTGGACGCGCTACTACATAAAGTGGCGCCATCCCAGCCTGGAGAAAAAGAATCAAGGACCGTATCGCAAAGGCAAGGGCCCTCCCTTATCGCCAGACTGACAAGCTTCAGGTCGGGTAATAATAGACCGAGGATTATGCGCACCGTTAGGATGGCGTTTGCTGGGCCAAATATCAGTTTGTCCCAGCCGGATATCACGCAGAAACTAACGGAGCGCATAGACGACCTGAAGCAAAAGATCGCTGCTTGGGGGAAGCAGATTTGACGATTTTCCGAGAGGTCAAGGCGGTTCAACCAGAATCGTCTATTCCAGAGTGACCAGAAGAGGCTCTATAAATCATTGGAGCGACCAAAGGTATGTGGAGCGGGCCAAGGACCGGATCAGGCTGACATTATCGCATTCTGGCGTGGCCTGTGGTCAGAGCCCGTAAACCACAGCGAGGGCCCTTGGATGGAAGTTGTGGCGAGCCAGGGTGCGAGTGTTACGCCTATGGACCCCATCACCATAACGCCAGAAGACGTGGCTGAGGCGGTCCGTAGGGCCCCGAACTGGAAAAGTCCGGGGCTCGACGGGCTGCATCATTACTGGCTGAAGGGGTTCATAGTGTGTCACGCTGTGCTCGCCCGACAGTTTCAAGAGGCTCTCGACCAGAAGTCACTCCCGAGCCTCTTCACTACTGGGATCACTCACTTGGTTCCTAAAGATCAGGATACCACAGACCCGAGCAAATACCGCCCCATCACGTGTCTACCCACCATATATAAGACACTAACATCAATTTTGAGCGCGAGAATCACTCGTCACCTGGAGCTAAACCAGGTGATGTCACGCGCTCAAAATGGATGTCGGGGCGGTGGTCGTGGAACTAAGGAACCACTCCTCATTGACGCGGTCATAGGCAAAGTGGTGAAACGCAACCGTCGGAACTTCTCTGCCGCCTGGATAGACTACAGAAAGGCGTTCGACTCGGTGCCCCATACATGGCTAAAGAGGGTCCTCGAGCTGTACAAGATTGACTGTACAGTTAGAGACTTCCTCGAGCAGTGTATAGGGCAGTGGAGTACGATCCTTTGTCATCTGGGCGTGCGGATGACGGCTGCGGAGAACTCCATAAGGATAAGAAGGGGTATATTCCAGGGCGATTGTCTGAGTCCAATCTGGTTCTGCCTCTCTCTTAACCCTCTCAGTACCTTACTGGAGGGCTCCGGGAGGGGATTTCAGCTACGGAAGGGAGGGACAAAAGTGACCCACCTTTTCTATATGGATGACCTCAAGTTATTTGCCTCCAGTCGCTCCCATCTTATGGAACTGCTAAACATCACATGTGAATTTAGCAGTTCCATTGGAATGGAGCTGGGGACGGATAAGTGTGCGGTCCTCCTTGTTGAAAGGGGAAGGGTTGCTAACTCTGAGGGCATAGACGTGTCTATGCCCGTCAACTTAAGGACCCTTTCCGAGGCTGAAACATACCGATACCTGGGTATGTCACAGAACATCGGTATCGATGAGGCTGGTATGAAACAGTCAGTTTGCGACGTGTTTTATGCACGCTTGACCAAAGTGCTTAACAGCCTTTTGTCCGGTGTGAATAAGGCACACGCATATAACGGTTGGGTCATGCCTGTCCTCATGTATACCTTTGGCATACTCAGGTGGACTCAGACTGAGCTTAACGCCCTGGATAGAAAAGTCCGCACTACCATAACGTCCCATAGGATGCATCATCCGAGATCGTCGGTAATGAGGCTGTACTTGCCGCGAAAGTATGGTGGGCGTGGCTTTCTGAGAACGCTCACCATGCATAATCGTGAAGTGTGCAGTCTCCGTCAATACTTCTTGGCGAGATTGGATGATCCATTCTATAATGACGTCATTTCTAGTGATAAAGGGCTTACCCCTCTATCCTTAGCCAACGAGCAATGGCAGGACCCAGCAGTGCTTAGCATTTCCGACCGGGAGACCGTATGGAAGGAGAAGGAGCTCCACGGGAGGTACTACAAGGCTCTACATGAGCCCTTCGTAGACACAGTAGCCTCCCTCAACTGGCTACGTTTCGGTGATCTCTTCAGGGAAACCGAGGGTTTTGTCTGTGCAATACAGGATCAGGTTATTAAGACCAACAACTATCGGAGATACATCCTAAAGGATGGCACCGTCGACGTCTGTCGAGCATGTCGCCATCCCGGGGAGTCACTCAGACATGTCATCTCCGGTTGTTCGGCGCTTTCTAACTCTGAGTACTTGCACAGGCACAACCTAGTAGCCAGAATTCTACACCAGGAGCTCGCTCTGAAATACGGTCTCGTGGACCGGAAATTGCCGTATTACAAGTACTTGCCGGAAGCCATGCTCGAAAATGACCGCGCCAGGCTCTACTGGGACCGGGCCATCATCACAGACAGGACTATTCTTGCGAATAAGCCTGATATTGTGCTGATGGACCGGGCATAGTCAAGGATATTTTTGGTCGACATTACCGTTCCGTATGACGAGAACCTCGTTAAAGCCGATACAGATAAACAAACAAAATATCTGGACCTGGCTCACGAGGTGACCGACATGTGGGGTGGTGTGTCGACCGAAATTATTCCTGTGTTCGTCTCTGCGAATGGGCTAATCCCAGTCAGCCTCTCGGGTCATCTGAGGCGACTGGGATTCCGTGATGGACCGCTCCGGGCTCAAATGCAGAAGGCGGTGCTCCTCGATACCGCCCGCATCGTTCGCCGGTTTCTTTCCCTTTCCCCCTAACCCTCGGCCGTCTGGTCTCCCCCTGCCGAGGGCTCCCATCTGGTTGGATCTTATTTATTTATGTAGTTTTTGTATTTATTTTATTTTATTGATATTTATGTACATTAATCTTTTCATTTTAATTTATAATTATATATTTATAGAACCCAACCAGATGAGAAAATTATATAGATACCCCATAATAATAATAATACAATATAGATATTTCGAGATTTTATAAATCAATTTTTTTTCTGTTAGAGTTAAGTTGAGATATGGTTTATTATAAAATATGACATTATATAATATTCATATAAGTAATTAATTAGAGTTCTGTATAAATTAATGCCTAGCAGTTGTACAGTACCTATGTATGTATGTAAAAATTCGAGAGAAAATAATACAATTACCAGACATTGGTGAAGGTGGTGTTGGTGGTCGTGGTGCTGATTTTGTTGGTGGTGCTTGTAGTATCGTTGGTGGTGTTGAGCAGTGAACCACCACCATCACCGTAACCACTAATACCACCACCAAGACCAGCACCACCACCACAGTTATTACGACCACCGCTATCACTATCAACACCACAACCACCTCCACTGCCCACTACCACTATCACAGCCATTAGTATCACCACCTAATTTTTTATACTCATGAGTACGTTGTCTTAAGAAAATGATATCGATAGAAATATATAATATGAAGCTTCTGTGAGAATACATATTTCCTCAAATTTCTCTCGAATGGATTCGCGCGGTTTTTAATGATAAATTGCAAGTATTTTCTCAATATTCGCCGCTTTACCCTATAGCAAGCTTCCATAAGACATAATACTATGAAAATTAGCAATGTATACAATTCTTGCATTTTCAATTTAAGTTACAATAAACATATTTTAATTTAAGTTACAATGAAACCACATTTTGTCTTATACTACATAAAATTTTTGTTTTTTTCCTTAAATTTATCACATTTATCAGGTGACAACCCTATCAAAATAGGTATACATTTTCGATGTTGTTAAGAAGCTTCCCCTCTGGTCCTTACTCTGTGTCTGAGGCCTGAAATAGAAAGCCTTATGCCGATATTACAGGGAGACACTTAAAATTTATATATAGGGTTCTACTTTTAATTAAACCATTGTTATATTTATTCCAGATCGCATTACATAATGTTTTAATCAACTGGTAGCAAGCAAGTAACTGTAGACAATAAATAAAGTTGAACCCATAATAAGGTAATAAAAGATCTAGAGTGAAAAGCTGGCGAGACGAGATAAATAATATAAACACGCAGACTTTGTTACGGTACGACGGTGCGTGCGGTAGAGTCTTTTTTACATTAGCACGAAATAACTTTTTTTTTAAATTGAAGTGACAAACGATCGAAAGCTATATTATGGTTGTGTCACGAATGGGTCGGCTCGACTAGGGAAGAACCACGCTCTCACATGATATAAAAGCGTAAAATAGCAGCTTAAAGGAGCGATTCTGTAGCCGACTGCAGGCAGCAGCAGCAGGCGACGTGTCGCCGTGACATGTCGTGGCGTCGTGTCGCTGCGGTCATGATTCCGAACCCGACTGCAGACGGCAGCAGCCCTTGTCTAGTCTGTTCCGAGTATTCAGTGGTACAGGATGTCTGACGTGTTTAAAATTAGCGATCGCGATTCATTTTTGTATCTTTTGAAGAGGAAGATGATGATGATAATATGCTTTTATTATAGAAGTATAGAGAGAAAAGACGAAAAAACACACGTCCAATGTTGAAATGCAGAGGAAGAGAAGAGATTTCTTTTATCCACACTGATTGAAACGATTTTAATCAGTGTGGATAAAAGAAATCCGATATGTGCTGTCTTTATGGATATGAGCAAGGCTTTTGACCGTGTTGACCATAAGATACTTATTCAGAAACTTAGCTGGTATGGCATAAGATGTAATGCGCTATACCTCATTTCTTCTTATATGTTCAATAGAAAACAAATAACAGAAATTACACAAATATGCCAGAAAACACGAAATGAAATCAAATATAGATCTAACACTGGAACCATAAAATTCGGAGTCCCACAAGGTAGTATCCTAGGTCCCTTACTATTTCTGGTATATATAAATGATCTC